TCATTGTAAATGCGAAATTATTATTTATTAATACGAATTTAAAAATGCAGAATTAAATATATTGTTATAATAAAACACAATGAGAATTTTATCTTGCGAAATTAACAAAGTACCAGTTAAAACTATATTAAGTACTGCCAGCAATTGTAATATTATAGCTGAGGATGTGGTAAATGAATTAGATTTAGAAATCGATGATATCTCTGATGTAGAAGTATACACACCCATTGGCAAACTCGATGTAGTAGGAGTAATTCGTGAAATCCCTATTTCAATCCTGTCTCAGGGCCCTAAATGGAAACAAGTAAAAGTTACCGATGTTTTCGTTACCAATAAACCCGAATTTGATTCTGTACTGATATTGGGTCAGCCGTGGTTCCAGGAAAATGCAATGAAAGTGGACTTCCCAAATAAAACTCTTACATTGCTCGATGGAACTAGTTGTGTAATTAAGAATATCCAGAAAATGCATAGTATATATGCCTAAAATAATTATCCGAACTCAGTTATTTTTTCAATCGAATATATATCACATAATATATCTTACCATGAAAATAGCCAAAGCTAAATTTAGAGATCAAAAAGTCAACTGCTGTCTCGAACCGGGATTTTTGGGACCAACTATATGTAGCGATAAAATTCTCAAGCATATTGGTGGGAAAATCACTAGACGGATAAGTTCTGAAGATAAAGATAGTAGATTTTTCAGGGAGATGACTACACATCCGATTGGATGGACCGTGATTCCACTTACTTTTACTTCAAGTGTAGAATGTAGTCGATTTAGCAAACAATATACATTTATTACAATTTCAACCCAGGTATTAATCGTAAAACATCATCCCGAATTTCCCAATCATATCATGTTAGGGTTTGATTGGTTCACTGGTCGAAAATATGATGATGAAGAGCTCCAGATATATAGAGCAGAAATTGTAACTGACGCAGAGGATGGTTGGGTAAGGACAACTCTTCGTATCAAAAATCTTGCCGAAAGAAAAGGAAAATCCATAGTAGTACCTGTGTATGAATTTGATAAAAGCGAAGCTTCATTGCTACGCAATAATCAGTCGGGTTCTTCTGATTCCCGCTTACAGCAAAATAAAAGCAAGAAAAATAAGGTCAAGTATTCTATTATAGAATCGGAACCAGATACTAACTCTGATACTTCTGAATCGGGCATTTCTTCGTCTAGTTCTGGATCAGAAGATACACACATATATAAGAGTGTGCGATGTCGCAAAGTAAAAAAGAAAAATTAATTATCCAAGCATTGGTTTTTTCATTAAAGATATATAATAATACATTATTTGAGAATGGTGCAACTGAATATATTTGATTTACCAGAATTACTAGAACAGATCTTATATTTTTTAGAAATTGATCGATCCCTCTATCCTGCTTTATTTGTTAACCACTTTTGGTACCACTGCGGTGCTCCTATTCTATGGCGTCGCATTGAGTTTTTTACAAAAAATGATTATCAGAGGGGTTGGCATGGTCGAAAGATGCCTCGAACTCTTACCCGGTAATTGATAAATTTTAAAAAAGCTATGTGTGGAAAAATAAAGCCAACCTATTGCTTTAAAATGGTATATCTCAGATTAGAAGGTTTGAAAATCTCAGATGTATTGATTAGTACGATTTTATGCTCATGCCCAGATATACGCACTTTCATTCTTGATCGAAGTGTTGGTTTTTCTAATATACCTATTATAGAAATTGCGAGATTTTGTCCGAAACTAATACACCTAAGTCTTAATTCATGTAAATGCCTTACTAATCGATGTATCACTGAAATAACACGTTCATGCCCAAAACTTAGACATCTTGAGCTTGGTGATTGCTCGATTAGTAATAAAGCTATCGAGGAAATAACCCGTAACTGTACTAATTTAAAATATCTTAGTTTGAAGGGATGTAAAAGGATTAGTGAAGAAGTGATAAAAAAACTCAATCCAAAAATTAAAATCGAATATCCTGATTATTCAGATGAAAAATGGTCTGATCCACCTATTCTAATCTTTAGAGGTCCATCGTTAGATAGAACAGATTTAATTTCCATGTTCAGAGAGATTGGCGGGATTAATCTTAATCATCCATGGTTTACAAATAATTTTACTTAATGTCGAAGAATAGAGCGGGTAATCGGGTATTTGACACCCTCCAGCTAATTTCAAACAAAGAATTTTTATTTGCCGTGATGAATATATATCTGTGATAATTTTCCTTGTTTTACTTTTGATTCTAGACATGGGCACTGATTGGTGCTAGCATAATTTTTTACGAAAATTTCATGTAATTGTTGAGGAGAAACATTCGGAAATAATGGGAACCCCTCTCCGGTAAAATAAAACATTTTTACCCCCTTGTCAATGAATTTCTTTATTAACACACCTAGATCATCTTCTAATGGACCATGAAATTCCTCAAACTTTCGGAGATACGCTCTTGTATTTTCATCAGCTTCTTCTGCCCTTTCTTGATTAGAATAACCAACAATACCGATTTTTTCCTGAATTGTCACTATATCGTCTTCTAAGCATAAAAGCAAATCAAATAATCTAATTGGTTTATCTGATGAGGTTTTATCCCTTCTAAGTTCCACTTCTAAAACGGGATTGATATCTATACCAAGTTTCTCCTGTATAGGTATTAACTCCCTCACCAATTCTAACAACAATTCATATGAATCGGCAAGTTTTTTCGCTTTCTTGCTCTCCGACACTGCCATTTGATTTATATTACTGTTAATACCAAGTTTTTTCTGAATAGCTATTATATCCTTTTTCTTATATAAAAGCACCTCGTATAATTGAGGAAATTCTTTATTTGGATCAGTATTATTATCTTTCAGAGAAAGCACACTTCGTGCATTAGTGTTATTTGTCATGATTAACTTGGATATATAATACAATAAAAAAAATCGGTTTAAATAATTTCGAGAGAATAAAATGTTTTAAAACAAAGAAAATCGGATGCTCACTACCTCTCTTTATTATATAAAAAATTGCAAAATGGTAATTACATTATAAGAATATGGGTAGAGACATTCTTCATACTTATTTTTTATCTAATAATTTTAATAAACTATTATTATCCACCGGTGAATTGATATTAGATACTGTTCTCACGATTTCGGTACGAGATACTCGTGCATCACCTTGTCTTACTTCCTCCTTGCCTGTTTTTAATGAAATAAAGGACTTAATCTCAACAAATATTACTCCAGCTGGAGGCTTACGCCATAAACATAATTATACGGTATGAAACTCACTTACGAGTTTGAATAGTTTCCACACTTCCTGATTTAGATGAGTTTGGGTCGTTAGGACGATTGATCTTAACAACATTTGTTACGCTGGTCTTGGAAATACTACTTTCGTTGGTCTTAGGAACATTACTTTCATTGGTCTTAGAAACGGAGGTGTCGTTAGAAATACTCATTTTTTCGTTCCTAAATACAGAATAATGGTAAGTACAAATACGTTTTATAAACTTAATTAAGTGGTATAATAAATAGCGGTATAATAAATAGCGATATATACTTTGGAATTAGCGGTAGAAAATGTTATTGATACCCCCCTTACAAGAGAGAAAAGCGATGAATTTTATACCGTTCCATTCCATTAAACCCATTCCAAAGCCAAATCAATTTTCGTTATTTTTTCGGTTAACCGCTTAGCATGAGTCAGGTTTTGTCTGTGATCGCATCCGGTAAAATACCCCTAATTTGGACGATCTCTCTGCGAAGTAAAAAAGATAACGATCTTGGCGATCTGGGAATTCTGAATTCCTAAAACGTATGATTTTTGATATAACTATTAATAAAGAATGATAAGTCCATTCCTCTTATAGTTCTTTCGAATCTAATTCGTGTTTTCTCGCCGTTGGTAGACGCATAGTGACTATAGTATGAACATATGAGGTAAGAAAAATATTACGGATCATATTAACCGACGAATCAGAGATCAGCATAGAAGTTGAAGTAACCGTGTAACATAGATAATCCCCATATTTTGCTATACATTATTGGATGGGAACATTTATCATTATACACGCTTCACGATAAGAACCAGCGTAAACGGGTCTCGAAAAGGCAGTAAGGAGGAGCGGACCGACAATCTCTATTAGTGCGTATATCAAAGGACTTATGTCTTGGGAAGTCGAAATCTCCGCAATCTCCGAGATCGTCGTATACTTGCCAATCTATACGAGTTGCGTAATCTATATACTATAAATAGACACTGATCCGTCCAAAAAAATTTTCATTCTTTCCTTGCATTATCTCACTTCTGCATAAACTAGATTCTTTACGCCTTATCCTGATATAAAAAATACCATGTCTTCACACGATTCAATCCCTTCTTCGCCTGTGTCTGATTCCTCTACTTTAACGGAAGAAAGGTCAACACGCACGATGGCGGACGTTGTGAAGGATCTAGATACAGAGGAACTCATTGACTATTTACAAAGGCGGGATCTAAAACTTAAGGAGACACATTTCAAGATATTGCGAAAAGAGGAAATAGCCGGCTCTGATTTTCTTGAGCTAACCGAAGATAAGTTTCGAAGTATTGGTTTTGCATTAGGTCCGGCAACAAGGCTTGCAAAGTTCATTGATGAGATATCAGAGCAAAAATTAAGAGGCTTCTCGACGTATAAAACGCTAGACGAATTAAAAGATGTTCTTCGTAAATACAAGGTCAATGGTGAGGATATTACAAGCATCAAGCAGTTTAATCCGGGTATGTGGTACTTTATTTTATTTTTTCTTGGCATTTTTCCGAGACATAATGTCCCGCAAATTTCTTGGCAAAAATGATCGAACATATGTTATATGCTAATCTATTTTTTCCATTGTATAGTTTTCAAGGAAATCGATGACGATGATAAAGCGCTTGAGCAGTGTATGAATGAAATTACATTGAGACTTTCGAATCTGGAAACAATGCAAGATAGTACCAATGAGGCTACGCGTTGTGTATTTATTACGTCGATATTAAACGCATCTCTGGACATCGTTCGACGACTTACCAAAGAAGAAAAAATCTATATCGCATATCAAAAAAGTGTTTCCGGTGAGGAGGCATCTGGCCGTGTTGATTTCGCGATAAAAGGAAACGAGGATCTTATGTGTATAGCCGAAGGAAAGCCTCGAAATGTCGAAATTGGTTATCTTCAAAATATTATGCAACTAGAAAGTGCGTACCATACAAACAAGAAGAAGCGTACAGCAGATGAAGCATTCAAGGACGATGATTACGATTATCTCTATGGGATAGTTTCTACAGGTATGAATCCCGCAATAGAATTTTTGACTATATCGCATCTAATTTATAATTTTATTTTTTTCAGCTACAGAATGGCACTTCATCGCCTTTACCACCGACGGTCTATATTGTACCAGTAAAAGCGAATATCGAATTAATCTTTCCAAAACGGCTCTCGAGGATGATCTTGAATCAATTCGAAAAGGGGTGAAACGGGTATTAAGTGTTATTGTTGAGTTGTTGAAGGATCGAGTAACAGTCGATAACTCTCCTGCTAGTAAAAGAGCTCGAATCAAAAAAATTACTAAGAAATAGGGGTAGATAGTTCCCCGCTTCACATGTATTTTTTATATTGTATCAATAAAGCAATCAGGCCTAAATGGTCTTTTTTCGATAATTAATTTTTATATGGTGTTATTACATGATATTTTTTAAATTCACTTTTGAACTTATCTATATTTTATTTAAAAAATGGCAAACACACAGGCCCAAAGGGGCGAATCTAAAGATTCATCTAAGATTGATTCTTTGAAAGAACTAAATTCGAAGCTCTTAGCCGAGATTACTAATCTTAGAAAGGAGAATGCCGAAATTCCCGAACTTAGAAAAAAATTTTCCGAAGTTGAGGCCGAGAACAATGAACTTAAAGCTGAGAACGTAAAATTAAAACAAGCTTTGGAAGAACATGAATCCAGATTTATAAAACTGGAGCAGAACGATAAAGATACCGCTTCTGAAAACGCCGAACTTAAAGCTAGGGTTGCGAAATTGGAACAGAAGCAATCGCAATCTGGCAACTCTATCACTAAATTGGGTGATAATACCAAGGTAATTGATCAATCTTCAGTCTGCGAAGCAGGATACTCTGTATCTAATAGCACCTCCAACAAAATGGAAAATTCTGACTCACGGAGTGAGGTTGCTATCGCATCTGAACCCAGTAGCCGGAGGTTATCTCACGCTAATGTTTCGGCATCTGATATATCCGACAATATTTCAAATCCTGATATATGTCATGAGTCCCCATCCCGATATCTCGCATCACCTATTCGCACAGAGACTGTTGTAGAGCAACGCCATTACCATGACAAATCATCAGAGGACAGGGAGATGGACGACTTTCATGATTCAGTATATAAGGAGAGAGTTAACAAAGAGATAATTCAGAGCATCGGAGAAAAGAAAATTCGGGATCAAGAATCACTTACAACACTTCCTGAAGAGGAAAGGCCTCAAGACCTCAACTTGGATGCTCAGTCACGCAATAACACATCATCCGAAGTATCGGCTAATTCAGATGGTAGTAAATTACCTCCAGAAGGCAAAATATGTAGCGAAACAAATTCAAAGTGCAAGAAAAGTGTAGGCAAGCTTAAGCAAGAATTATTTACCCCTGAGTTGTCTTCACAAGAACTATCAATAGAAGAATATCATACGACCGAAATTCCCGAGACATCATGTCCTGGAAAAGTTACTTCTGGTGACAATTCTAGCATTGATGAGGCCTCACAACATCTAGCTCAGTTATGTGATAAAGCTTTTGATGCTGAAGATAAAGCGAATAGAGCTAATCAGAAGGAAATTTTATGCTGGTCCCTCTATGCGAAGGATTTCAGAATTCAGCTCAACGGGATTATAGAAAATAGCGGAGGTAAAATTGGTGAAAAGAAAGCAAGAAGCTTACTGTATGATTCCATTACAGAACAGCTTAATTTACTTCGCAAACAAAGATCCCAAGAGTTAGGTTTACAGCTTCGAGACATATCACGAGATAGTTTGCGCAAGAAAACTCAGAGAGCTGAGAAAGTCTATAAATTTTTCGAAAAAGTGGGCCATGATAAAATCAAATATATCAAATCATATAGTGCAACTTCTATTTCAGAACTTACTGATGAGCAAATTCAAGAGGTTATAGATTATGGGATATCTTCAGAAAAGTTGCCTCTAGTAACAAATCATGTGACCAAAATTTCCGAGACATTATGTCCCGGAAAAATCTTATCTGAAGTAAGTGAATCAACTGCAATTCCTATCCCATCATCCCATATCGAAAAGGTTTTATCGGAAACCGAGATAAACACATCATCTGCATCTCAGGATTTATCAAAAACAGAGGTAGGTGGACCCAATGATTCTTTAGGCTCGAAGAGTCACGGCTCTGCCATAGATTCTAACTTGGAAGAGTCGGAGACTCGAAGCTTTGCTTCATCACCTGATGATAATAAATCCTACGATGGAGACACTAATGATAATGGCGATTTTGACGTGAACCAACTTCCAGTTGAGAATTTCTTTGATGATGACTCACGGGGTGAGGATGCTAACGCAACTAGGGATAATGAAAATGATGACGAATTCTCCGATAACAATGAAGAGGAAGATGATGGAGGATATTGTGGTTTCTCTGACGATGATGAAGGATATTATTATGATTTAAATACCGGTGAAACTTATACAAAATCGGAATATCGTTATTCAATCCGCGCATATTAATAATGATTCCAGCACATATTATTCGTGCAATCTAATTTTTATCACATAAAGACTAGAAATACGTTTTAATTTTAAATATATTTTTTTGTTGAACTTCACTAAGAATAAACATTTCGGACATAATGCTCATAAAAATACCAACCTTATTTTTAAACTTCGTGAGTCAATGCGATTACCAGTAAGGCGATCCACGATTTATCAGCATTACATAATCTCTCGCTAATTAACATTCATTCTTAGTCTGTAGAATGATTTGCATGACTATCTTCGATTACGCAAGAATACATGCTATTAGTAATAAAGAAATGCTAATACCTGATTACGTTTACTGTCAAGTTAAAAAATCGTTCTCGCATCTTCTCGACTTTACATGAAATAAATGATGATCGAAACATAGCCCTATAAAAGATGCAATTTTTCTACTGTCTTCCCTTATGCAAAGCCAACGTGGCATTTAACAAACTCATCGAACTTGGTTTCACTTATCTTAAATCTGAATATCCGCAAATCCTCACAATTAAATTTCTAATCTGAATTTCTTTGCATAAATGCGCCCATTCGTCGTTTTGGAGAATATGCCTTTTATGGCTTTAACGGCTACTTTATTTTTTGTCGTTGCAAAGATGACCCCCGAAAATATCCATTTGTGTATAGGATTCATCACCATATGGTTATTCCTGTGGGACGTAAAGCGAAAAAATGCCGATGAAACAAACTCTCGTGAAACCAAGATCAACACTGAACAAATCCGAAATAAATTCCCGTGATGCTAACTATGCAATGGAGACACAGAATATCATTAACGTGATAACTGGGAATATAACGAAATCGAACAAGTCCTTCAAATCTACCATAATAATTTTGGTAGAGTCGCAACTGAATTCGAATCAATCAATGGATCTATCTCAATGCTCCAAAATTAAATCAATCGATATTATGCCGTTATCCAGGCACAAAGTGTCATTTCTCCCGAAATAATTGAGCCTACCGAGGAAGCAGAACAATCCGATTCGACCCAACGATTATTTTCAGATATAACTTCAGAAATCTGGAACCAATTTAAAATTATTTTCGATAGGATTATGGCAGAAAAAAGCGTGTTCTTTAGATGATATGTGTGTTATTGTGGCTGCCGATATTATTAATCTTGGGGTGGGACAACTTAGTAGAGATACAGTATAATCAAAAAATATTATCATAGAATTAATGATTTAAGAGGTAGTAACAGATAAAATAGGTGCTTGGATCGATAGTAAAACAGTTACAAGTGAGTAGCGGGAAAGGAACTGCCAATATATGGGTTAGGGCTCGGCAGGCTTAACAAGCAGGCATGATCTTTATGCCTTTCCTCCCTTGAAACATCCTGCTACTCTATTATTTTTGCTTAGCCGGTCAGCCCTTCCTCATATTATTTTACGAAAAATATAATAAAGAGCTTTACCTTGATTTTTTCTTTAATAAAATTTCGCCACGTTTTTATTTTTTTACGTCGGAAAAACTAATCAGGAAAAAGCTGTAGACTAAGAGTCCAGCTTCTGCAAAGCTGTAGACTAAGAGTCCAGCTTGCACTAACGTCACATTGCTGTAATAGCATCCTTGTTAGACTAAGAGTCCCAACAGTTTGCCGAACTAAGAGTTCATGACTGGAGACTAAGAGTCCCAGCTTGCGCTGTTGTTCAGACGTGACGTTAGGTAGATACTATAAGTTGTCAGGCGACAATCCAGTAAATGCAATAAATTGTAAATTATTCGAAACACACCCTTGCGACTTTGGTGTGATGCTTTTCATGTGGATGAAAACACGGGGGAGTGACACCAGGGAAATCAACATTGTGGCTTAGAACCAACTTTTCGCGTAATCCAAGCAATCCGATTATTAAAACTAATTCTTTTTCAAGAATGGCTCATTCAATGGCCACCTTTATGGCTTTTTATCATGCTAACAAGATCGAAGACTGGACGTGTAATAACCTGGTGGAATATTATCGTGATAAAACGGAGAAAAAAGATTGGAAGAAGGTATTAGATTGGATCAAAAAAGATCTCGTTAGGGTAACAAGGTCTGACTCTGAGTTCGACACGATACGTAGAGGAAAAGCACAAGAAATCCTGGACAAATGGAAGGTAACTTATTGGATTTGACTAATTGAGAGCTAGTCTTTTACTCGATATACATACATTTATTACGAAATGTTTCTCGCAAGTATAATAATTTTAAACTTTTTTTTTCAAAGGATTGGACTACATTTTACAATGACATTATAAGAAAGGATTGCGCTCATGTGAATATGCGGGTAGGCTTCTTCTAGTCTGAAAATCTATGGTAAAGGATAAATTAATAATTTTGTCAATTAGGTAAGAACCATACGTACTATAAGTCAACTAAACAATCTGACTGGAGATTCAACACAAAATTTCGACAATTGTCTTATAACTTCGGGAAAACGAGATAGAGAAGAAACGGAAAGATCCTCGCCTCGATTAAAAAAGGTGAGATCATTGCAATCTATGAAATGCAATATCATGATTTATTTATAAACATTGATTTTCAAATTCCAGAAGGCGTTTTCTAGTGGAAGCTCAGATACTCGGAACTATTTCTCGCAGATTCGTTCTGAGCAGAACGAACAAGATCAACGACCTCGAACCCCCGAACATAGAATTTATTCATCAGGTGCCATGCCATCTTGGAACCGAGAGGTAATTGTATTATCATTATTATTTAATGTGTAAATGTAATTTTTTTCAAATGGCTTTGCGAATTTTATTTATGTACATAAGAACAAAAGTGATAATGATGAGTCACAAGAACTCTGTGATTCAGATAGTGATCCCATATCAGATCACAAGTTACTTGACGAATTATCTGAGGTAATTAACCTTTGCTTTATTTTGCATAATCAATGTATTAACTTCTATCCAATCTTTAGGAATTAAAGGGTTTGGGCGCCATTGAATTGACAATTCGGGATACTTTGCTCGAGATTCTCCGTCAGAATCAATCAAAGGATTTAAAATCGGGAAAAACACTGATGAACTCGAATTTCTTAAATGGGATAATAGATGTTTCGAATGCCAATTTGAAGAAAATGACTCGATCAATATTAAATAAATTGAACGAAGGACAACAGTGGTTTGATCAGGTTCTCAATAAACAAACATGGGCTTCAACTTCAGAGTTCATCGACTATTGCAATCAGTTCACGGACCACGTATGTAATCGTGTACAATTCCCCACTTTGGTACGCAAGTCCTTTGTCACAGGGCATTTTGATCCCTTTGTTCATGAAGGGCACGACATTGCGCAGGACATTATGAAACACTTGTAAGTATTTTTTGCTTATGAAGTTAATGACATCAATAATACATTAACAATAAAATAGTTCAGTGCGGTTGGAAGCTCCATGCAATATAAGTTCAAAATCGTCGAAACTGGAAAGAACCTACGCGATCGACACGATTATATATGTTATGAATAGAATTTTCCGTATGCATTTCGATGTTCTCGATGAAAACTGGTAAGTACCGATTGTAAGTTCCTACTAATTTGAGTTATATTGTTAATCTATTCTTTTTTTGTCACTATTATTTTAGGATAGAAATACTTACTAGAGATACAAAGTCCCATAAGATCAATGGGGTTTTGAAAGTTTTTCAAACGAAAAAGTTTACACAGACAATCATAATCATGGAGTTTTCATGTGGTCAATACGCTTCAGAAGACAAGGATACTGACGATCAAGTGAAATTGAGTCGCAATGCAAAAAGAATTTTAAACAAATTACTTGATAAAGTCCCATGTGAGAAAGCACGAGTTTATACTATTCAAAGTGTTAGTAAGTGTCATTATAAAATATTTGTTAATAAAAAAATTCTTGGTTACTTACTTAATCTTTTTCTGTATAAGATGGAAATATTAGTATAAAATATATGGTGCGACCTTTACCTTCAATATATCTGTATGAAGAGTTTGTTAGCATCAAAATACCTATGACTTTTGATGATATGGAAGAATTCGCCAAAAGTATGCAAACCCTTATGGATTTTCAGGTAACGGATGATGTTAAATATTTATAGATGTTTCTTGCATGGAATTGATGGTACTTTGTTTTTACTGTCATAGGTTGATGTCTTGCGGACTGTTAAGCTGATGAATAAGAAACAAATTGAGGATCCAAAGGTGTATAAATCCGAAGTTAAAGACACGCCACAAAAAGACCGAGAAAAAAAGAAAGTCACTAATAATACCTTGCCTTCATACCCTGAGTCACCCTTTACTGGATTACCAGGTGAAGATTTAATTTGATTTATTTACATGTGTGGAAATTTATCATCAACGTCCATGAATATAATAAAAATGTGTTAGCATTTAGCCGTTATCTGTAGTACCAAGTTTTACCCACATCGGGCTTGTATTTTTTAACATGTGTACGATTTGTTCTTGTATGTACACCGGAAAAATAAAAATACATGTAATAAATATATAATTGTGTTACTTCTCTATGATGTTCTGATGAAAATTTTTCATGGCAAATTTTCTCCGCGTCATGAGCACGTGACCTTCACATATTTCCCTCTTCACACCTTCCTCACCCACTTCTACATTTCACTTTGGCTGAAGAAAGGTCAACACACACGATGGCAGATATTGTGAAAGATCTAGATATGGAAGAACTTATCGATAATTTACAAAGGCGGAATCTAAAGCTTAGTGAGATGCATTTCAATATTTTTCGGCAAGAGATTTCAGAACAAAAATTGAGAAGTTATTCAATGTATAAAACTCTCGACAACTTGAAAGAAATGTTTCGCAAGAATAAGGTTAATGGAGATGATATAACGAATTTAAAACAGTTCATTCCTGGTAAGCGATTTTTTGAGCGTCTCGCAATTTTCATCATATAAGCACCTTAGTATGGATGTGCTTGCTCATGCTATGACTGCATATTTTCATTTGTAGTGGTCGAGAAAATAGACGATAATGATAAAGCCTTCAATCACTGCATAGACGATATAATTCTGAAATTATCGAATATTGAGATGATGACCGATGCCAACGAAGTGACTAGATGTGAATTTATTTCAGCCATTCTTCATGCGTCGATTGATATAGCTAAAAGTCGTACCACCAAAGATATTTTTATTACATTGCAGAAGGATATATCAGGTGAAGAGTCCACGGGTAGAGTCGATTATACAATCAAGACTATTGAGGATCTTCTTTGCGTCACCGAGGATAAACCACGTAATGTAAGGATCGGTTATGCTCAGAATTTGCCCGAGCTCGAGAGTGCATACCAGACCAATAAGAAAAAAAGAACGGCGGATCAAGTATTTGGAGGGGATTATTTTGATTATCTCTATGGAATTGTGTCGACAGGTATATAATTTTTCTTAATGGTTGGTCAAAGGGTGACGATCAAAATCATGTGGTTTATTGCTAATTATCGATTCGTTCTCAGCCATGGAATGGCATTTCATCATATATACTCCAGATGGAATATATGCCACGAGTAATAGCGAACATCAGATAAACCTCTCTAAAACCGCGATCAAAGAAAATCTGGACGTGCTTCGAGGCGGTGTGAAAAAGGTAATCGGGATTATTGTTGGGGTATTAAATGACCGAATTAGTGTTGATAATTCCCTAGCCAGTAAGAAGGCTAGGATTAAAAAATTTACAAAGTAATTGGTAGATTTTCCTCCACATGTATATAGTAATAGCCGTGCTATTTTTATTTGTACTAATAAAGACTTTTTGCCAACATCAACATGATTGGTTGATTTAACTACTATTTTGGGATTTGTATCGGAGCAGAGCTAGTGTCTCTGACACATAAAAAGAAATTAATTAGGTTAGTTAGAAGATCGCTTTGTTGTTTGAATTCATCATACATTTGTGATAACTGTCGAAGTTGGTGCTATGTCCGATTGCTGATGTCAACATGACGAACAAACAATTATTGATCTAATTAACACGTAAGGTGTAAAAAGTTCTGGCAATTTCTGGTCCTTTACCGTCCAAGTCTAAATAAATTCCGATCTTTGATTTTTATATAAAAAGGTGGAGAAAAAATATCTGTGACCCTTTACCCCCTTCGTTATAATAAAAAGATCCATACACTCGAAAATGTATCTAATTTCTAACGATCAAGGTTTGTTTATGCTATGATACTTTCCCCGCATTCGTGTATGTATACTAATACGACCAACTCTCACTTATAGATGTCATCGCTTGCCATTTCGGGAATCGCTCCACTTTTGGACTTCGCCGGCCTATTGTTATTCGTGGAGAAAATATCAATTTACTTGATCGCTGGTGCCACGTTTTATTTTTTACGTACCACGTTTAATGAATTTCTTGCCAATTGTGATGCCAGGTTCTTAACCGAACTCACCGATTACCGTGCAAAATTTAATACTGAACTTACCTCACGCGACGAAAACTTTATAGCGGAGATCCAAAGAATCTTGACAATGCTTAATACTTCTACTGTGAGACTTGATGAGATCGAACAAGTTCTTCAAAACCACCATAACAATTTTGGTAGGGTCGCAACCGAATTCGAATCAATCAATAGATCTATTACAATTCTCCAAACCGAAGTTAATCAACGATACTCTCTTATCCAGAGTACTAATAGGAGAGGATCAGACCAGCAAAGCGAGGCTTCGTCATCTTCTGCTCGTTCATCAAATTCCTCAAACTCAAGCCAAAAACTCGCGAATATCATTTCTGTAATCCGAGAACAGTTTCAGGCTATCTTTGATAGAATTAAGGGTGCGAATGATTATACATTCGATCAGATGTGTAATGTTGTATCGGCTGATATTCTTAAGCTTGGGATGGGAGCAATTGGAAAAGATACAATAAAGAGTTTTTACAATGGGGGTAATATAAGAAGCGAAAACTTAGGAAAGATAGGTGCTTGGATAGATAACAGTTACACCACTACTGAGTAGCAGGAAAGGAACTGCCATTATATGGGTTAGGGCTCGGCAGGCTTAACAAGCAGGTGTTTTTATGCCTTTCCTCCCTTGAAACATCCTGCTACTCTATATTTTTTACTTAGCCGATCTCTAACTCTCTCAATATATTCATTTTAAAAAAATCAAAGATATGGTTTTAATTATTGTATACTGAGTTGTCTTTGTGTCGCTAGCTATTGTTATTTCTTGGCAAAAGTGATCGGCGTGACAATTTGTCTACACTTGAAATAGATATGCAACGATAACAATCCAATCTGTACTAAAATTGAATCGTATTATTCTAGAGTATAAAGTTATTAAATCAAATAGGTAAGTCTAAATATCCCAATCGATAAATATGTCTGGTTTTGATATCGCTACTATCATTGATAAAAAAGACAAAACACTTTCTAAACCATATATTAATCGTCCTGGTTTTGATATGAAGTATGCTGTATCATATACCTTACATTATGGTGGAACTTATGCTAATGAACTCAATCAAATTTTCGATAATGAGAGATTATTTGATACATTATCTATCATAAAACAGAATGAAACACCGGTTCAATGGGCAATACGGGTCAGAGTACCTTTACAGAATTTATTAAATACCGGGAAATTTAGTATATATTGTTACCGATTCAACATCGTTAGTTATTCTATATGAAAACATGTGAATAGAAGACGCAGTAACGATAAAAGATTGGTTATAATAATATTTGGATTACGTGTCTAGTTCGATAACATTCTACTTCTTTCTTTTTCTTTCTAT